CTATAATCTGTGCCAAATATTTTGCTACAGGTAATGACTTAACTGGTGGCTAAGAGAATCAAAGAAATTGGGAATACTGGATTTCTGACTTGGGCAAGGGAGTAGACCACAGTTGGCAAACTATGACCTGCTACTAGTTTTTACACAGCCTACAAGCTAAGAATTTTTGTTTTTGTAGTACTAGGGTTTGAATTCAGGGCCTACACCTTGAGCCACTCCACCAGCCCTTTTTTGTGATATGGTTTTTTGTTTTGCTTTGTTTTTTCCTGAGATAGGGCTTGCTTCAAATTGTGATCCTCCTGATCTCTGCCTCCTGAATATCTAGGATTACTGGCACCCAGCAAAGGGATTTGGTTTTGTTTTGTAGTACTTAGGTTTGAACTCAGGACCTTCACACTTACTAGACAGGCACTCTACTACTTGAGCCACTCCACCAGTCCTAAGAATGGTTTTTAACATCTTTAAATAATTGAAGAAAATCAAGTAATATTTTGTGACATGGAAATAAAATAAAATTCAAACTTCAGTATTAATAGTTTGTTTGGAATATCCCTTTGCTGCAAGTTTACATATTGTCTCTGACTGTTTTTGTGTTCAATAGCATAGCTGAGTAATTTGTGACAGACACTGTTTGATCTGAAAAAGTATTCACTGTTACAGAAAAGTTGCTGATTCCTTGGGTAGGGGTGATTTTTATCTACTGAGGTAAGCAATTAAGGAGGAACAGATGTAGGGGAAAACATTTCTGTGAGTATTAATCATTGGAATCAGAGGTGCTTATTAGATATAAGTGTCGAAGGCAAGGGCAAATATTGGTCCAGGGGCTCTGAAGTGCATTTAAAGCTAGAGGTAGATATGGGAAGAAACAATGAAATCAAGAAATCTGGGTGGGTGCCAGTGCAGTGACTCATGTCTATACTCAAAGCTACTCAGGAGGAAGAGATTGGGAGGATCAGGTTTGAGGCAAGCCTGGACAAAAAGTTTGGGAGACCTCCATCTCAGCCAATGGTTGGGCATAGTGATGTGCACTTGTCATCCCAGCTTCACCGGGAAACACAAATAGGATTATGGTCGAGGCAGGCCCAGGCATAAAGCAAGGCTTCTTCTCACACACCTCTTGCCTCCACTCAAAAAAAAAATAACCGACAAAAAAAGGTTGGGCAGAATGGATCAAATGGTAGAGTACCTGCCTAGCAAATGCAAGGTCTTGAATTCAATCTCTTGATACTGCAAAAAAAAAAGAAAAGGTGGATGGAGATGTGGTTTGCAACACATTCGAATGACTTCGAATACTGAAACACAAAACCAAATAGACATCCCCCCTCCCCAAGACTATAATCTGAGCTGGGGGAGGGAATGGGTTAAACTCGGGCCCCAGGATTTTTTTTTTCCAGTACTGGGGTTTGAACTTGGGACCTTCACCTTGAGCCACTCCACCAGCCCTATTTTTGTGATGGGTTTTTTTGAGATAGGGTATTGAGAACTATTTTCCCAGGCTGGCTTTGAGCCATGATCCTCCTGATCTCTGCCTCCTGAGTAACTAGGATTACAGGCATGAGCCATCGGCACCCAGCTCCAGGATTTTTTTTTTCTTTAGGCTCCCTGTGCAATTCCAGTATGCAGTCAGCTTTGAGAACCACTGGTATGGAGTGTGAAGGTTGAAAATGGAACTTCAGGGATTACCAACATTTAAGGGACTGTTCTAGGTACTTGTACTGAGGAGAAGAAATACAGACGGAGCGATAATGGAAATTATGGCAATGGTCAGACCCTGTAGTTTGGTCAAGTAAGATAAGGATTTCTTTGGAAATCACTATTGATTCTATCAATCAAAAGTAATTCTTGCCGGGTACCATAACTCATATACATAATCCTAGCTAGGCCCTGAGTTCAAACTCCAGTACTGTAAAAGCAAAAACAAAAAACCAGTTCTTTTGGAGGCCAGGTGAGGGCAGTGATTTGAGGTAGAGGTGAAAAGACACTTGAGGGTGAACTATTGAGAAGATTATCAGGGAAGGAAAGGGGGAACATGATAGCTAGAGTGGGGAAGCATTGGGGATGTAGTTTGTTCAAGAGATGCTTACGAAGATGACACAGTTTGAGCCTGTCTCTGTGCTCAGGGAGTTAGCACTCAAAAAAGAAGACTGAAGTGACAGCACTATATGTTACTCAGATTTCATAAGAAGAGCACCAGAGCTAGATTTTGAGTAGTTCTTGGCATAATCTTAATATTAAAGCCCAGTTGGCATTGTGTTCTTTTTCACTAGGCAGGTGCTCTATCACTTGAGCTACTCGGCCAGCCAACATTGTGTTCTTTTTTGCGTTTAGATGCACCACCAGTATACCTGAAAAGAGATATGGATCTAGGCATTGAGAAATACAGCCAGCAACTGTTCTTTGCCCACCCAGTCACAACCATCCTATCTGGGGCATTGGTCTCATCTATGAATGTAGAAAGGTTAACTAAGTGGACTCCATCACCTCTCCCAAAGGCTTTAATTTAAACTCGGACAGCTGAAATAACTGTGAGGCCCACTCACTACCTGAGCTAATAGTTCGTTAGTACCTGAGCATGTCCTTTTTTTGAAGAACATCAGCAGGTTGATTATGATTCTCTCTTCTGTGAATCTGGGCACATTATATTCGAAATACACCAGTTTAGTTTGCCATTAGAACATTTCTCAAGAGAAGAGGGGAAAAAAAAGAAAGAAAAGAACGTTTCTCAGGAGAAAATTCTAGCATAAAGTCTTAATTTAATGTTTTTTAATTATATATAAGTAGCAGATGGTCATTATGGAATATTTGGGTAATACATAAGTCTTGAATTAACATTTTGGTTTATTTATTGGGAGTCTTTCTTTCCCCAACGTTTTTTATTTCTCTGAAAATGTACATATAGTTAATTTATGTGCCAGCTGTGTTCCACAGGAAGCAGACAGTGAGGTGGAGTTGGAGAGGAAAGGATTTATTGGGGAGTAATGTCTGTGAAGAAAAAGAGAAGGGAGTAGCTCTGTGTTTGGGGGACCATCAAACTGCAGTACACACCTGGCAAAGTCTCTGTCACCAGATACCCTGATAAAAGAGGCCCATGGAGCCAAAATGGATGGGTCCTTATACCACCACGTTTCCTAGTCAATGGTTAGAGGCAGTGCTAAAGAAAGGGTACCCTCTGCCTAAAAGCTAAAGCAGATTCTAAAGAAGTCAGTAGCAGGAAGCTTTCTGCTGACTACTTTTTGCAGCTAGCTGGACAGTGAGTCCTTTCTTTAAGAGGATCTGCTCATAGTATCTTTTGTGTCTGCCATGACACAAAAGTTGTGTCCTGCTTTTTCTGCTTGAATGTGGGTCTTCATTAGAAGAGTCATTTTTTTAGTCCAAGAAGTGCTGAGTTTATACATTCATTCCCTAGGTTTCCAAATTTTCCATATTAATAAAAAATACCACAATGAACATACTTATATAAGGTTTCAAACAAGGTATTTAGGATTATTTTATTTGAATTTATTCTTAGAAGTAAAAGATTGATAAGTGTGGACATTCTTAAGGCCTTTCATGTTGAAGGAGTTATTATTTATAGTGTCAGAACAAGGAATGAACAACCTGTGACATCAGATCTTCATTAGTCTTGGATCTCATTTTCTCAATCATGGCTAATTTATAGCTGAAAACGATGTCTTATCTCTTTTTCTGACCTGTGGTCTTATATGGTACTTAGTTGGCCATGAATTGAGGATGTGATAACTCAATTCTGTGTCTGGAGGCTGGGGGGTTGGTGATAATTGTAAGGATTAAGGACTTTAGCCAGGGGCTGGTGGCTGGAGTTTGTAATCCTAGCTACTTGAGAGGTTGAGATCAGGAAGATCATGATCCGAGTCAGCCCAGGCAAACAGTTCAAGAGACCCACATCTACACAATAACCAAAGCAAAATGGCTCAAGTGGTAGAGCGTCTGCTTTACAAGCTTGAAACCCTGAGTTCAAACCCCAGTCATACACACAAAAAGTAGAAGAAGAAAAAAAAAAAAGTGAGCTCTGGAATAAGATTGGTTAGATTCAAGTTTCATTTTTGCTGTTTGGCCCTTTGTGACCTTGGTCATGTCTCAGGGTGTTAGCTTACTCATCTGAACACTGGTATTAATAATTGTTTCTGGCTTGAAGGTTAAATGAGGTAGAAAACATAAAAATCAATATGAGGTATAGCCATTGCATATGCTTAAATGTTATGTATTATTTTTTATGTAGGGGTTTTTGGGTTTTGTGGGGTTTTTTTTTGGGGGGGGGTGGAGAGGGGACATGGGTGTTGTTTATTTGATACCAGGTCCCACTATGTAATCCAAGCTGACTGCAAACTGGTGATCCTCCTTCCTCAGCCTCCTGAGTGGTAGTATTATTTTATTAGATATTTGGTTAGTTTAGTATTTTACTAATTAGAATAGGTGCAAACATTTAATTCAGAGTCTTAAGAGAAAAAAAAAATTGAGACTTACAGAGATTAATAGATTTGGTTTGGGTCACTTCACTGAAAAATTGGCAGACCTCAGACCTCACAGTGGACCTCTGCCTAATGCAGGATTTTTTCAACCTTGTCACTGTTGACATTTGAGGGGTGGAAAATTCTTTATTATAGGGGCTGTCCTGTGATTTGTAAGATGTTTGACAGCATCCCAGCCTCTACCCACTAGAAACCAATGCACAACCATCCTGCTTTCAGTTGTAACAATCAAAACTAACTTTAGACATTGCCAAATGTCCCCTGGGGCAGAGTAGCTGATAGTACATAAACAGCCCTTCAGTGACATAGTCCAAATTTGGGATAAGGGAGTAGTGCTCCACCCTGCCCAACTGGAAAGGTCTAATCTCTTGTTGAATTCAGTTCTCATGAGCTCTTCAGTAACCTGAACTGTTTAAGATGGAGCTTTGTTTTATAGTTCCTGGAATTCTCAGAACAGTCCATAGTATTTAAATACAACTATTTTATGCCTAACTTTTCCCTCTTTGGTTGCAGGTAGAACAGCAACAAAAAGGTATTTATGGAATTCAAATGAGTGGTGATGGATGATGTAGTTCGAATAGCTAAGGTAAGAAAAATTAAAAACAGAACTGTGAGGACGCTTGCTTTTTTGTTGTTGTTTTGGTTTGGTTTTTTTTGGTTGGTACTTGGGTTTGAACTCAGGGCCTCATGCTTGCTAGGCAGGCCTCTACCACTTGAGCTACTCCACCAGTTCTTTTTTGTTGGGTATTTTCTAGATAGCGTCCTACAAACTGTTTGCCCAGGCTAGCCTCAAACTACAGCACTCCTAATCTTCTACCTCCTAAGTAGCTAGGATTACAGGCATAAGCCACAAGCTCCTGACTCATGAGGAGGCTTTGTCAGCCAAGTTGGTATCCTTACAAAAGAAACCTAACGCCAGGATTCTTCCCACTCCATTTTGTTTCCAAGCTGTAGGACTAGCTTACTTTTTATGATTAAAAACATAATTAACATCTGTTAAGGTAATGAGTGAACCATTCATTACCATTCTCTTCATAAATCAGAATCACTTAAAGAGCTTTAAAAATAAGGGCTGGGGGCATGGTTTAAGTGGTAGAGTGCTTGCCTAGTGTAAAGCCCTAAATTCAATCGCCTAGTACCACAAAAAAAAAAAAAGAGCTAGAGGAAATGTCTTGCCCTTCTATGTTGAATTCAAACTTCTGTGGGTTAAGCACAGATCAGCTCGTTTTAAGTGAGAATATAAACAAACCAGTACAACAGTTTTAGAAAACTGTTCAGTGTTGTGCACTAAAGTTAATATGTATCCAATAACCCAGGAATTCTACTCAAGAAATGCAAAGCTGGAAAAAGTAGAAACAAATGTCTAAAAACAGATGAGTAGTTAAATAAATTGTGATATAGTCATGCAGTGGAATTCTGTGTCTCAATAGAAAGGAACAAACACTAACAGTATTCAATATGGGTGAATTTCACAGATACAGTTCTTTCACTGAGTAAAAGAAATCGACACAAAAAACTTGATGTAGTCCAGTTTTCAGGTAAAACTAAACTATGATAGAAGTGGAATTAGTGGCTCCTCTGGCAGGAGGCTGTGACTGGAAGTAGGTAAGAGTGTGCAGCACTGAAAAGCTTTCCATGTTACTATATGCGTATACGTGTTTCTTTTTTCCTCATAAAATTCATTCTTTTTGCCATGCACTGGTAACTCACACCTGTAATCTAACTACTCAGGAGGCAGAGATCAGGAGGATCATAGTTTGAAGCCAGTCTGGGCAAACAGTTCGCAAGACCCTATTGAAAAAAACCATGACAAAAATAGGACTGATGAGTGGCTCAAAGTGAAGGCCCTGAGTTCAAGCCCCAGTACCACCAAAAAAAAAAAAAATTGATTCTTTTTCAAGTATACGATTCATTGGAATTAGGCATATTCACACTGGGGAGCTGTTACCACCCTCCATCTGTAGAACTTTCTCATTTTCCTTAGCTAAAACTCTGTACCTAGTTAATGACAACTAATTTTCCTCCCGCCCCTGGTAACCACCATTCTGTTTTCTGTCTCATATAGTAAAAACAGAATATTTGCTCTGTTTCTACAGTATTTTCAAGGATCATCCATGTTGTAGCATGTGTCAGAATTTCATTCCTTTTTAAGGCTGAATATTCCTTCAAATGTATATGTACCACATTTTGTTTATCTGTTCATCAGTGATGGACATTTGGATTGCTTCCACCTTTTTGGCTGTTGTGACTAATGCTCCTCTGAACATGGGTGTATAAATACCTGTTTGAGTCTCTGCTTTCAGTCCTTTTGGGTATATATTTAGAGGTGGAATTGCTATATCATATGCTAATTCTGTGACCCAGTAATTTTTTAAACGACCATCATGCTGTTTTCCACAGTAGTGACCCATTTTACATTCCTCCCAGCACTGCTGTTTTTTGAATGGTCTCCATAATTATATGCTTATTTCTTTTGTGAACCTTTCTGAAAAATGAACAGTTTTGCTTCTCCAGTGTGAAGGTGGTGATTTACCTTTTTGAAACAATTTTGCCTGTCCATTATAAAGATTAAGATTTCTCTCACGTTATTCCCCCCAATTTGGCTATACATTATTTTTTGTTCTGTTATTTATTAGTATCTTTCTGCCATGTATGTTTCCATTAACTTGTTAAAAATTGTTAACCTCTACATCTTGTCCTCTGAACACAGACAAGTCTTTCATAGTCTGTCCATAAGTTATCTCTCAAAATTGAAAGCTAGTTAAGTGTTTATTATCTCTAGGACCAAGCAGTGTATTATTTATATTTCTTTCTCTATAGGTTCAGCCTTGGCTATTGAAAGGATTGAAAATGAAAAAATCACTCCCCTTTTGAAACTGTCAGTTGCCTCAGGTCATACTTTGTATTTCATATTTTGACCATGACTTTCTCATACAGTTTTCCCCCCTGAAGTCCCTAATTTTCTTTTTTTCTTACCTGTTTACCTACCATAATCTCACTTTCCTGCAAGTTCTCAGTCATACACCATAGTCTTTTAAGACTAACTAAGCCGTACACTGTAGCCCAAGTATAGTGTAGTCATATATTCTAGTCCAAGGCCAATCTGAACTAATTGTTTTGGGGCCAACTACATACTGTTCAACCCATAATAGGGGTCAAAATATGAAGGAATTCTTATATCAGTCCTTATATTTTTAAGCTTATCATTTATTCTGTATGAAACCATTGAGCAGGATGAATGTAACATTGTAGGGAAGACTCCTGGGAGTGGGGTTGGAGAGATGTTAGCTTCATTGGAACTCAGCGGAAGGCCTGGACCAGATAGTACTGTGGAAAACACAGAATCTGGGGCCCCACCCAAAATATCCAAAACCAGAATCTTCAGACAGGAGACCCAAGACTGATTCAAGCTCCCTTTCTCCCACCTTATGATTCTTATTTTTAGCCTAGATTGGTAACACTGGTTGTAAGATGATAGAGTTGCTGCAATATGGTTGGTAGTTGTGTAAGTAGAAAGACCTGAGGGAACCTAAGAAAAGAGGCATTTCAAAGTAGTATATAATTTTGTACCCAGTAAACTCAGATGACGGAATCTGTTATAGAAATAAGTAAATTTAAAGAATAAATTGGATTTAAAAGGAAAGTGATCAGTTTGATTTTGTCTTTATGGTGATAGTAAGACATTCAGCAGGCACTTGGAAAATGAAGGTGCACATTCAGAAGTGAAATAATGGAGGTGACAGTCATAACCCTTAGTATGAATGAGCCTTTCTGGGAGGAACGGCTGTGGCGAGAAGAGCAGACAGTCAGGAAGCCAACATTGTGGGTGCTCCTTCCTCAGCCCCTGAAACAAAAGGAATTGAACACACTGTCATGATATCTGGAAAACTTGTGTGCTTTGTTTACTGATTACCTGCAGGCCATGAATTCTTTGAAGACAAGAACTGGTTATTTGAGTTTGTTTGTTTTTTGCGGCACTGGGGTTTTAACTCAGGGCTTCATGCTTGCTAGGCAGGGACTGTGCCACTTGAGCCACTCCACCAGCCCTTTTTCATGTTGGGTTTTTTTGAGATAGGGTTTCACAAACTATTTGCCAGGAGTTGGCTTCAAACTGCCATCCTCCTGATCTCTGCCTCCTGAGTAGCTAGAAATACAGGCATGAGCCACTGGCACACCATCCAGAACTGGTCTTAATTGACTTTCTAAGTCCAGTACTTACCACAGTGCCTGGCTTTTCAATGAAAGTTGAATGAATGCCTAAATTGGAGAAAGAACACATGAACTTGACTATAAAGGAATTTGCATTTTCTTCCTTGTATTGGTAATATTTAACCCTTTGCCTGGCTCATAATAGATCCCAAGTGATTATTTATTTATTTATTTATTTAGGTAGTACAGAGCCTTGGACTTGCTAGGCAGGCACTAACCACGTAAGCCACTCCAATAGCCTTTTTTTGTACTTGATATTTTTGAGCGAGCGTCTTGTGAACTATTTACCTGGGCTGGCTTTGAACCACGATCCTCCTGATCTCTGCCTCCTAAGTAGCTAGAATTACAGGCATGAGCCACCAGCGCCTGGCCTAAGTGAAATTTTGTATAAATGGTAAAGGAAGAAAAGCTTTCAGAGCTGAAATTGAATAGTCATGTGTCAAGAGAACCAGGACACTGCGAAACTTGAGAAAGAAGGTAACTGCAGCATTTCAAAGAGATTGAAAACAAGGAAGAAAATTGGATTGATCAGGAGGTTCTTTGCAGATATGAGAGTAAAGGAATTAAGAACATAATGATAAATATGTGTCATGAAAAAATTTAATATTCAGAAGGAGCATGTGATGCATTCATTCAGTAGAGGTGGAAAGTGAAGAAGTAGAAGCAAAATATATCTCACGCTAAGCAGTATGAGGAAAAAAGGGGAACAGGAACTGCAGGGCTTAATTGGGAGGTTATTTTTGTGTTTAAAAGTCTGTTTGGAACATGTGTACCTATTTGTAAACAGAAGTAAATAAGGGCTAGAGAGGAAAAGGTTGAAAGTCCCAGAAAGAAATGCAAAATTTTAGAGGAAAGACCAAGGACACAGGGTGTATCCTTAGAAAAGACAAAGGAACCTCTTCCTCTAGTCTAAACAGAATAGAGGCTCTATAGAGGAAAAAAAAAGAGAGATGGCAGCCTCTTGTTACTCCAGTTACCACCTGCCCTGCGGGAGCTTGGGCTAGTGTGCTAGAGACTGACAAAGGAAACCTGACAAAAGAAGGGTGTTTTCTGCAGAGGAGAAGGGTGATGAGGAGTGTGATACTCCAGAGCAGTGGTTGGAGTATGAGATAAGGATGTGAACCCAGATAGATGGTAAGGATAATCCAGGAACCATGATGGCATTTTTCTATAGATCAGAGAGTTGTGGCATGGAAGTATACTTTGTTTCTCTCTCTCTTTCTTTCTTCCTTCCTTCCTTCCTTCCTTCCTTCCTTCCTTCCTTCCTTCCTTCCTTCCTTCCTTCCTTCCTTCCTTCCTTCCTTCCCTCCCTCCCTCCCTCCCTCCCTCCTTCCCTCCCTCCCTCTCTTTCTTTCTTTCTTTCATCTTCCACCCCCT